TCACTCCAGCGCTGCGGGTGCAGCACTCGCAGCGAGCACCCACTCTCGAACAATGCCCACACACTCTCCGCGTCTGATTGCCACGCCACAGGGGCCGGGGTGACGGTGGGGTTGGGGGTAGGGGCGGACGGGTGGCGGGGAGAAGAGAAAGGGAGTGAAGGCAAGAAGAAGCAGAGGTGATGTGATGGAGTATGGCCGTTGTCGGGGTGGAGGGCAGGAGGGTGGAGAGGGGACCGAAAGAAGAGGTGCAAGCAAGCGAAGGAATAGCGGCAGTGCAGAGAGGGGATAGGGGAGAGCAGAGTGGGGATAGGGGAGAGCAGAGTGGGGATAGGGGAGAGCAGAGTGGGGATAGGGGAGAGCAGAGTGGGGATAGGGGAGAGCAGAGTGGGGATAGGGGAGAGCAGAGTGGGGATAGGGGAGAGCAGAGTGGGGATAGGGGAGAGCAGAGTGGGGATAGGGGAGAGCAGAGTGGGGATAGGGGAGAGCAGAGTGGGATAGGGATAGGGGAGAGCATAGTGGGGATAGGGGAGAGCAGAGTGGGGATAGGGGAGAGCAGAGTGGGGATAGGGGAGAGCAGAGTGGGGATAGGGGAGAGCAGAGTGGGGATAGGGGAGAGAGTGTATGTGCATGAGGGCATGTGGCGGCAAGGCAGTGAGGTAGAAGGGGGCGAATGGAGGAGAAACAGACACCGTGCAATGAGCAGCAGCAGCACTGCAGAGCAGCACGTACAATATATAGACCACTCAGTTCAAACGCAATCCAACCCTACCAAACCGCTCACCACCACCCCACCCACCACATCCCCTAACGGTTTCCCTTCCCAGCCGCCTTCTCACTCCCCCACACTGCCCCCTCCCCCCCCCGATCACTCCCTCGACTCACCCCCCTCTTCCCGCCACACTTCCCAGCCCGCCCCTGCCACAACAACAAACCTGCCACGCCCTCCCCATTAAGCGTCTCGCGCGCACCGCCGTGCACCGCACTGTACCGCACGACATCGATGTTGGTGCCATAGCGCAGCACGCCCGCCCTCAAGAGCTTGTCCACGTCAGCGCGCCCAAACCACCCCGTGTAGTACTCCCTGCGCGGTGGGGCGGCAGGCGGAGGGGGAGGGGGACCCGTTGGAGAAAGGGGGGAGGAAGGTGGGAGGTGGAAGAACGCGCGGATGGGAAGAAGTGGAGAGGGCAAAGGGAAGGAGAGGGGGAGATGGGGGGGGGCGACCGGTGAAGGCGAAAATGGGGTGCGGTGAGAGGGCAGCACGCGGTTGAAGGGATACACAGGGAGAGGGGAGGGGAGACGAGAGAGGGAGAAGAGAGAGGGGGAACACGGGTTAGGGAATAAGGAAGAGGCGAAACATGGAATTTATAGAAACGCTGTCCGTACAGATCCTCCTCCCGACTCTTTCAGAACCCAAACAGCTCCCTCTCCTTGAATCTCTCCCACGGATAAACCCAGCCCTTAAACCCCTCCCCTCGCAACCCCCTGTTAAACCCTCCACCAACGCCACACCTGCTGAGCGGGCGGAGCACGAGGCCCACGCGGCGCTCCCACCACTGCTCGTAGAACCGCGCGGGCGACACGGGCGCCAGCAACCACTGGAACGCGCGATCGCCGCTCGCCCTGTCGCCGCACGCGCGCCGCCCGCCCGCGCCGCTCCACTCGCGCTCCCTCGCCGCCACGTCAGCGGGTGCGCGGTTCGGCGCGTCATCGACAACCACGTCGACGCGGTCCGGGTGTGCGACGGTCAGATCCTCTGGTAACTCGCCCGGCTCCATCGCACGGTGATTCCTTGTCGCCGCTTCGCTGCTCTCCTTCTCCGCTGATGACCGACTTCGCTGCTGCCTGCTCCGCTACTGGGTTGTATTGCCTCGACGCATGCAGGGTAACTCTGGTCAGGGGCGAAATTTGAGAGGCGACTGGGTGGAGGTAACGGACCGACTTCCAGGTGTTCGTGAGGTAGGCCCACTGGTGGAGGGAATTACCGCGGCACGGGCTTTGGGCTCGTGAATTTATTATATCGCGCTGCAATTTGAAAAGGAAACGGTTTCGCCATCCATCTACCTTTTATCCGGGGCGTTCCGCGCTCGCGTCATTTCGGCTCGAATAGAGGCAGTGTAGATGTTAGTGTAGGGTCAGATGGAATTTTCGCGGAGGAGTTGTTGGGGCACTTCCAACTTTTTGGGAACAGCGCACCAAGCCCGTCAGTTCCAAACCTACGTGGCCATTGTACAGCTTAGTGCCTCATTCCCTCCAAGTTCCCGAACTTCGTTCATTTCTGCAGCGCCCATGATTGGCTTGCCATCGTCACTGTTCTGACTCCACCCTTTCACGCCAAGTGGCATGCGAGGGTTGCATTTCGTAACACTTTCGCCCGTTCATGGGCCAACATCATAGGCATGCAATATAGTCTGGTAACCCTATGCAATTGTATGCAAAACCGTCGATACCTCAGTTGCAAGTTGCCCTAGTGACGAGTTTTTGTTTAATTCAATAATCAATCTGTACCACGCTTAGCTTTGCGCTAAACTATTATTGTTTTGGGCAACTGTTTCTGCCAGATGAGCAAAATTGTTCAGTACACATCAACCCAAGAAAATATAAAACCCAATCAGAACGGGATGCGACTCAGGGAGGCATCAACCCTAAAAGCAATGCATTTTCCCGTGTTTAGGGTTGATCCTTCCCGAAATTGCATCCAGATCCCTAGGGGTTTTATTATTTTTTTGCGCTGTCTTAACAGTTCTCTGAATTTTCCGTTAAATGTGTCGTGCACATTTAGCGGAAAATATTTGCCCGGAATAATCGTTGTTAAGCGCCAAACAGGCTTGGTAATAACCACAATGGTACAAGATCGGAAACGCAGTCGATTATTGCACATATTTCTTCCTTTTTTGTGTTGCGTCAGCTGTTACACAGCGTTTTGAGTTGCGGTACCAGACAAACTTGCGCAGCAGAACTTGGGTATCGACGGTTTTGCATACAAGTGCATATGGTTACCAGACTATTTTGCATGCCTATGATACTGGCCCACCGTTCATTGTTCCCTGGCGAACAATCGCAGCGTGAACTACAGCCACTAGGTAACGTTCAGTTTGACATGTGTTCGCAGCTGGTTCACTCTGGATGCCCCATGAATCGTTGACACGTGACTGATAATAACAAAAGCCGCAGCGCAAGCATGGTACATCATCAGTCAAGGCGTAAACAGTTCGGAACACTAAACACGTCAGACTTTAGCACCAAGCCACTTCAGACGCTGCTGTTAAACATATATGCTTCGTTATATCTAGGCTTAGTTTATGTGTTTACAGTTGTCTAGGCTATAGTGGGTTTAGCCTTAGGGGATACACAATTTCTCTCAACATTCTACTTGTACCCCTTCCCTTTTCCTAGTCGATCATTCTCGTCTACTATTCTCACATGGTATTAAGAGCAATTAGTCCTAGGACCTAATGTTAATGGGCCCACCACCTACTGCCCTACTAGCCTAGGCCCCGGCCCGTCGCCCCTTAGCGTCACCCCTAGCCCCTAGGCTCGGCCCCTTGGCCCCGTCGCCTCGGCCCCGCTGGCCCCGTCGACTTCGTCGCCCGCGCCCGGCCCGTACCTGCCCGCGCCCGGCCCGTACCTAGCCCGTCGCCTCGGCCCCGCTGGCCCCGTCGACTTCGTCGCCCGCGCCCGGCCCGTACCTAGCCCGTCGCCCGGCCCGTACCTAGCCCGTTACCCGGCCCGGTCCTAGCCCGCGCCTGGCCCTGTCTCCTGCCCGCGCCCGGCCCGTACCTAGCCCGTCGCCCGGCCCGTACCTAGCCCGTCGCCTCGGCCCCGCTGGCCCCGTCGACTTCGTCGCCCGCGCCCGGCTCGTACCTAGCCCGTCGCCCGGCCCATACCTAGCCCGTCGCCCGGCCCGTACCTAGCCCGTCGCCCGGCCCGTACCTAGCCCGCGCCTGGCCCTGTCTCCTGCCCGCGCCCGGCCCGTACCTAGCCCGACGCCCGGCCCGTACCTAGCCCGTCGTCCGGCCCGTACCTAGCCCGTCGCCCGGCCCGTACTTAGCCCGTCGCCTCGGCCCCGCTGGCCCCGTCGACTTCGTCGCCCGCGCCTGGCCCCGTCCTTCGCCCAGCGCCCGGCCCCGTACCTGCTTTGGCCCCTCGGCCCCCAGGCCCCTTGTTTGGCCCCTCGGCCCCCTAGGCCCCTCGGCCCCCCCTAGGCCCCTCGGCCCCTTGTTTGGCCCCTCGGCCCCCTAGGCCCCTCGGCCCCCCCCTAGGCTCCTCGGCCACTTGTTTGGCCCCGCGGCCCCTAGGCCACTCGGCCCCACCTCAGAGACCGGCGCCCAGCCCCCCGGCCCCTTGTTTGGCCCCTCGGCCCCCTAGGCTCCTCGGCCCCTCTAGGCCCCCCCGGCCCCTTGTTTGGCCCCGAGGCCCCTAGGCCCCCCTCAGCCCCACCTCAGAGACCGGCGCCCGGCCCCGTACCTGCCCAGCGCCCGGCCCCGTACCTGCCCAGTGCCCGGCCCCGTACCTGCCCAGCGCCCGGCCCCGTACCTGCCCAGCGCCCGGCCCCGTACCTGCCCAGCGCCCAACCCCGTTCCTGCCTAGCGCCCGGCCCCGTACCTGCCCAGAGCCCGGCCCCGTACCTGCCCAGCGCCAGGCCCTGTACCTACCCAGCGCCAGGCCCTGTACCTGCTTTGGCCCCTCGGCCCCCCGGCCCCTTGTTTGGCCCCTCGGCTCCCTAGGCCCCTCGGCCCCCCTAGGCCCCTCGGCCCCTTGTTTGGCCCCTCGGCCCCCTAGGCCCCTCGGCCCCCCCTAGGCTCCTCGGCCCCTTGTTTGGCCCCGCGGCCCCTAGGCCCCTCGGCCCCACCCCAGAGGCCGGCGCCCAGCCCCCCGGCCCCTTGTTTGGCCCCTCGGCCCCCTAGGCCCCTCGGCCCCTCCTAGGCCCCCCGGCCCCTTGTTTGGCCCCGCGGCCCCTAGGCCACTCGGCCCCACCTCAGAGACCGGCGCCCGGCCCCCCGGCCCCTTGTTTGGCCCCTCGGCCCCCTAGGCTCCTCGGCCCCCCTAGGCCCCCCCGGCCCCTTGTTGGCCCCGAGGCCCCTAGGCCCCCCTCGGCCCCACCTCAGAGACTGGCGCCCGCCCCCCCCCCCCCCCCCCCCCCCCCCCCCTCGGCCCCTTGTTTGGCCCCTCGGCCCCCTAGGCCCCTCGGCCCCCCCCTAGGCCCCTCGGCCCCTTGTTTGGCCCCTCGGCCCCCTAGGCCCCTCGGCCACCCTAGGCCCCTCGGCCCCTTGTTTGGCCCCACGGCCCCTAGGCCCCTCGGCCCCGCCTCATAGACCGGCGCCCAGCCCCCCGGCCCCTTGTTTGGCCCCTCGGCCCCCTAGGCCCCTCGGCCCCCCTCTAGCCCCCCCCCCCGGCCCCTTGTTTGGCCCAGCGGCCCCTAGGCCACTCGGCCCCACCTCAGAGACCGGCGCCCGGTCCCCCGGCCCCTTGTTTGGCCCCTCGGCCCCCTAGGCCCCTCGGCCCCCCTAGGCCCCCCCCCCCCGGCCCCTTGTTTGGCCCCGCGGCCCCGCGGCCCCTCGGCCCCACCTCAGAGCCCGGCACCCGGCCCCCTGGCCTCTTGTTTGGCCCCTCGGCCCCCCCCCTAGGCCTCTCGGCTCCCCTAGGCCCCCCGGCCCCTTATTTGGCCCCGCGGCCCCCAGGCTCCTCGGCCCCTATGGAGTCGCTTCGAGTTCTCCCGTTCGACCCGGAGGGTAGACCTGTAGCATTTGACACGTGGCACGACGATCTGCAACTGTACCTACTGAGCGACAGTCGGGACAGTGTCTCACTGTTTGACCACGTGTCCAGTGCCGCTCCAGCCCCTCCCGCCACCGCTGACGTTTCGACTCGTTCCCAGTGGCTGTCTCGTGACGCTACTGCCCACTTGGCCATTCGCAACCACCTGCCCGCAACAGAATGTGCTCTCTTTGGCGAGCACAGGACAGCACAGGCCTTGTACGACGCTGTCGTTGCTCGCTACTCCTCCCCTGCCACTGCTGCTCTTGGCAGACTGCTACTGCCCTACCTGTTCCCTGAGCTGTCGGCTTTTGCCACAGTAGCGGACCTGGTTACCCACCTGCGCACTAGCGACGCTCGCTACCGCGCTACCGTTCCTGCTGAGTTCCTTCCCACGAACCAGCCCCCCATGTTCATCACCCTCTACTTCATAGTCACTCGCCTCCCTGACTCCCTTTGCTCTGTCAGGGACCACTTCCTCACCCTCGACCCCACTTCCCTCACTGTTGACCTCCTCGAGCAGCATCTCCTAGCAGCTGAGACTAGTGCAGTTGCTGTAGGTGCTGCTCGTGGCACCCCGCGCTCACCCTTCTTTGAGGGGTGCTCCCCCTCCCCCCTTTCCTCCTCCTTCGCCTCTGCTGTTGCTGCAGACGTCTCTGTTCCTGAGGACGTCGGTGCTGCTTCGACTAGTACGAAGCGCCGCAACAGCAAGGGCAAGGGTGGCCGGGGTAGTGGAGGAGGCAGCGGTGGTGGTGGAGGTGGCAGTGGGCGTGGCAGTGGGGGCAGCGGTAGAGGAGGCGGAGGCGGTGGAGGTGGTGGCGGCGGTGGGATCGGTGGCGGAGGTGGAGGCTCTGGTGGCGGCGGTGGAGGCAGCGGAGGGGGTGGCGGCAGTGGAGGCGGTGGGACCAGTGGTGGTCGTTCAGGACCTCAGCGTGGAGGCCCTGGTGGCGGTCGGGGCCAGCAGCAGCAGCGTCGGAGCGAGACTCAGACGCCTCAGCAGCTCCGTGAGTGGTTGGTTCAG